CGGGAACCCGACCACAAGCACCCAGCCTGGGAGACAAATGAAAAGAAGTGGGAGACAAATGAAAGGACGTGGGAGACAAGCCAGCTGGGAACCGGACCAGACCATCCAGCACCAAGGCGACCATTCTTTAAAGCATTGAGAACCCCTAACAGTAAACTGTTTGGGGAAAAACACCTCAGGTGAGATGGCAAAAACCCTGATCGGAACGATAGCCAAGCCTGGAAGAGGACTGGCGACCTGGCGCGCCAGGGTATCAAACACACAAAACAAATTTGAGTTGCCCAAATTTCAGTTAGGCTCACTGAGACCATTTTTTTGTCAACTGCAGGGAGTTTGTCAACTGCAGGGAGGCACTGTTGAAGCGGCTGCCATGTAGGCAAAGATGTAGATGATGGATGGATTTGGACAAGACCAGCCAAAGACACAAAGATGAAAGTCACTAGAGTTACTATAGAGCAAGGTGTTGAACAAAAGCTTGTAGGCCTTGTCAGGAGCGTACCCACGCAAGTGGTTCCACTTGTCACCCCAAAAACGAGCCTTGCAGCTAGCGCACTATGCTCACTCACTTCTTCTTACCCTTGGCCTTGTCAGTGGTTTTGCGCTTCTTGGGCCGTGCGCTCGACAGGAAAGCGTTCGCCGCAGCCTCACCAAGAGAGTCAAGGACTCAGGAAGACCGAAGAACAAGTGGGAACAGCATCCCCCCATTTCAACAAAAGAGGGATGAATGAACCCATCGGTATCTTCAAATGACACTTGAGCTTGAGAGCACCAGCAAATTGATTTGCCCCCCATTGATTTGCCCCCCACTAAACCCCAGCCTGCAATTTTGTAGCTGCTTTCTGCTGGTTCTCCATGTCAGGGATGAACTTTTTCAATTCCTTGTCAGACTTCTTTTCCTTCAAAGCACGTTGAGCCTTCTTGTAAGTCTGTTCCATATCACCGGCTTGCTTCAGAAGAGCTTTGGCAAGATCATCAGCAAACTCTAAGCCTGAAAGAGTGATGCTGTTGCTCCTGGCCAAGGCCGAAGCCTTCAAGTGCTTTTGGAGCTTGAGCCCCAGCGCCTCCGACACAGTCTTTGGGACCACTTCTTCGGATGTTTCTTTCTTCGGCTTCGGATTCTTTGCATTGGAGACCTGTCCGGAAGAGAGCGTGAAACCTTGAAGGCTATGTTTTGGAACAGTTCCCCTATACACACATTGGTGGGGGATATGGAAGTTTGTAGGTCTTATGGGCCTTGGCATTCATAGCATTCAAGAGCTTTGCACATCCAGCCGCGCTAGCTGTATCGACCGCTGGCATTGCCCCGGGTTTGAGCACGCCGACTTCCCCATCGATGAGTTTGTCCATGAGACCTTCTTCGTTGACCGATGCAGAGGCACTCAACCTGATTGAGTCGGTCATGCTTTCCTTTTGCTGGAATTTCTGCGGTGCCCTCATGTAGTACCAGCATGCCTAAGATTGGAAAGCAAGTTTTGAGGAGGGGTTGGAATTGGCTACCAGTAGCTCCTCGCCAAAAAAGAAAAAGATCAAACTAACAGAATGGTTTTCATGTCATAAACAAGCTTCCATGGGGTCATCCGGGTACATATCGTCCTTGTTGAACAAGTTCTCTTCTGTTCTACGACAAATCATCTCCTCACCGCGGTCCTTGCCGTACTTGTCTACCAGGTCCCACCCCTGAAAGGCCGTCCATCCCTTTTTGCTTTCATTCTTGGTTTGGTGAACTCGATCCACGTGTAGGACACAAGCATCCCAACTTTTCCCAGAGTCCAGCCAAAAGTTAAAGAGTTCGGTCTTGTTTGTATTAAAGTAGTCACCACAGCGGAACCGCTCTTTGGATCGAACGAAACTGTCCCAATCACGCTTGTTGGTCACGCCTGTAGTTGGCCCAAAACAAGGTCAGGCTATAAGAACAATGTGTTTGAAGCCTACCAACAAGAAACAAAACAGAAAGCAGACAAATCGCAGCCCCGTAGCTATTTCGTACAGTTGGTGCCGGAGTGGAGTCTGGAACGCCCGCAGCAGTGCCCGCCACTGCCTTCACCAACGCCTTCGTCTTCACTTGCCTTCGTCTTGCTTCGTCTTCCACATCTTACCTTCGTCTTCCACATCTTCCTCTTCACTTTCTGTACCTTTTTCTTCATCTTCACTCATCTCTTCTCCATCCAGGTCTTCACTCACATCGCCATCTTCACTTCCATCTTCAGCCTCATTCTCTGAGGCTTCGGGTTCCTCATCCTTCTCTTCGACATTTGAAGATGCCTCGCTTGCCGATGCATCCTCCTCCTCCTCTGCATCGCTTGAGGCCAGGCCTCTGACCATCTCCCTCACCTCAGAACGCGAAGCAGCAGCTGGAGGAGGCTCCACAGGACACTTGGTTGGAGGGGTGAAGACATCTTCGATCAACTTGCGCTTGACTGGGACATACTTGATATCTTCCTTCTCACTCTTCTTCTTCTTATCCTTCTCAACTTCCTTCACTTCCTCCTCCTTCTCCTTTTTCACTTTCTTCTTTGCTTCCTGCTGCATTCTCTTCTCCACGTCCTGGCACAACTTCTCTTGGGCCGTCAGCCTCTTGGGACCCTTTTCCCCATCCAAGCGAAGATCCAGAGACTTGGTCTTGTCGGCGCTTGGCTTCCTCATTGCACTTTTCCTCACCTCCTTTGCTTCCTCCTCCTTCTTCCTCTTCTTCTCTTCCTTGCCTGAATGCCCTTTCTTCTTCTTCTCTTCAACCTCCTTCGTTTCTTTCTTCTTCTTCTCTTCAACCTCCTTCATTTCTTTCTTCTTCTTCTCTTCAACCTCCTGGTTCTTCTTCTTCTCCTCACGCTCCTCCTTTTCTGCAGCCTCCTTCATCCGCTGCTTCTTCTTCTCCTCGCGCCCCTTAGCCTCTTTCTTTTCCATCTCCTTTTCTTTCCCTGACACTTTCTTCTCTGGTACCTTCTCCTTTAGCCTCTGCTCACGCTCATCCTTTGTCTTCACCTTCTTTGCACCTGCAGCTGCGCTTGTTGAAGCGGAGCCACGACCAGCATCAACAGGACTGCTTTTTTCACGGTGGCGTTTGACTGGCGCGCTCATGGCAAAACCTGACTGCTGGGTAAGCGCAGGCTGTCTACGTGGGACATCAACATCAATCTGCACTTCGCATCAATTTCGCAGAAACATCCGAAATGCAAAAGTGGAAAATGCGCGTGGCCCATGCTCACAGCAGAGTGGAATCAGGGTAAACATGCCATTCGCAACATTTCGCAATGTTTCGCATCAATTTCGCAGTTTTTTCGCATCGACATTTTGAGCAGGATGTGTGCGGTTGTTTCTGGAAAAAGCGTGGCAGGCCGACCAACTTTGAGAGCGCGGTTCAGCACCAAGAGGCATGCTCTGGGAGCCAAGCAACATCAAGGGGTGGGCCCACCAACCCCTTCCAAGGCTCTAGATTCTAGATGCAATGATGTTTGGTGCGCCTGGAAAAGGCTTTCCTGGAAACGGGTTTTGGTTGGGTCCTTGGTGGTGGATGATTTCCTGATTCCTAAACAACACCTTGCCGACCCACCCTGGTTTTCCCCATGGCCCAGCTTGGTAGTTTGGCGCGCCACTCGAAAACCCCTTGCCACTAGCGGCAAAGGCTCCAAGAGAAAAGCTCGAGGATGCAGTGGTCAACCTTAATTTCGAGCGGGATCTTTCACCCCTACTTGCACTTGGAAAGGTAAGCTAGGATGGGGCGCAGGTTTGCGCCCCTGACCCAGGCATCGTTGACGCGGGGTCTCTCATCCATACTGGTCTCACTCTGCTTGGCCTCTCTCATGAAGCGCCGTGCCAACTTTTGGTGTTTCTTCAAGCGCTTGGTTCTGCAAGCCGCTAGGGCTCTTCCAAACCTGCACAGGGGAGGGAAACATGACATCCCTGAAAAGAACATGTTCTTTTAGCGACCCTTTTGGCATCCCACGCTAAACTGGTGCCCTCTCAACCACACACACACAGAGTGGACGGCGAAACTTTTGTTTCAGGCAACCAAGTGACGCCAATGGATACGCTTGCGAAGCTCGCAAATCACTCCCCCCACATACTCTCCACTTTCCAGACCCATCACGGTACTTGTGAACCATCTGCTTGGGTAGAAGGTTCGGCGTGGACTTGTACTTCGGCAAGTCATCAATAGCACCGCTATCTACAGGGTTGAAACGATATAGGTATAGATGAAAACCCTTCAAACAGGCTGACACCGATCTGAAACCAGCACCATGCATGGCCCCGACTACAGACCATGAAATCATGACCGAGGCACTGGAGTAACTGAGTAGATGAAAGTTGGTTTCTTCGTAGGGCCCCCATAGTCGGACATGTTGATGTGGAGTCTCTTGATGTTGAGGATTCTGGCCAAGTGTTGGAAGCATGGCAAATATTCCATGCGTGATGAAGCTGGCTGCTCCATGCACCACCACGCTCCGCGGCAGGAGGCAATGAGAAGAAGAATGAAAGCTCTGCAGGCCAGGATGGTACCGTTCCTGACAGCTTCGCTGTCCCGCCTGCCCAGCGGACAGGCGGCGCTGTGAAATGTGGAACCCCTGCTCCTGACATGACACCAAACAGTGGCCCGGGAATCAATAGTTTGACATCAAAAAAAGGGCATCCTCTCCATCGTTTTTGCTCCCTTTCAACCTTTCTTAGCTTTTTGTTTTAAGCCTTGCGATACACAGGATGTACCCGTGGGTCCCGCCAAATAATCAAAGCTTTCCACCACTGAAGACACGCAAGCCACATAAAGACAAATGTCGAGCAAACAGGGGCCGCCATCGCTGAAGCCCCAGCCTCCAGCATAGTGGTGTGGTAGAGCGCGTTCAAGAAACCAACGTCCGTGAGAAGGTCAAACTCGTCACCTCCATATTCCTTGTCAAAGGCCACCGCCTTACGCCATCACAAATCCAAACTTTCTAAGCATTCTCAACCTTCCATCCCCAATTTCTGAGGATGTATTATACATGTTTAAATCCTCTCTTCATGACCTTGTAGGATAAAACGTCCATCCTCCAAAAAGGTGTTAGAGGGCATACCCTGTAGACTTTTCTGAAACGGACACACCTGGAGCTCACCGATGGTCACACTTGCTGCTCGGCAAATGTCTCCACGTGGTTGAGCTCACCTGTAAAGGGGAGCCCTGGGGCGCCAATGACCTTATACTGGGTGAAGGTTGGGGGAAGCTTTCACAAAGCCTCCGGTGGGTAACCCCTTTTTGCACAAGGATACAGAAACAACTTTACCTTTCTCACAAACTGTCGGCATGTTTTCCGGCTAAAACAGGTCGCCCTTGAAGATATGATATAGCTCACCTTTCTGCAACACCTTGCCCTTTTTTGTTTAATTTCAACCGGGCAGCCACTGGCGCCTTCAGGTGCGACAAAGCACTGAGCATGGAAGACCGTCTTTGGTCTTTTGGACTTCGAGGGATGGAAGTGGGTGGGCCTGCACTTCGAAAGCGCATGTTCATCTCGGTTTCCTTGATCCTCTTCTTAAGCTCCGCCCGACCCACAGCGCCCTTCACCATGTTGGGCAGAGGGACACAGGTAGCAAGCTAGAGCCAGCTAGAGTCGAGCCCAAACAATTCCTGGGATGTCAACCTCCGCAAGATTATTCTTTACTCTTGACTCTACAATAAGAACAGGAATTTCTTCATTCGAGAAATTGCAGTCGACGTGACTCACCTCATCTCACCACCGTTGATTCCACAAACCCAGAAGCCCGGTCTCCTTGAGCGTCACAATCTCCAGATCAGATGAGCGTACCTGGAGCCAGCTCTTTTTGGAAAACTCTTTGACGTCAAAGGTTGGGAGGAAGATGGGTTACATACGCGGCGCCTCTGACGCTGGAAGGCCTGTTTTCGAGGCCTGTTTGGTGAACCTGAATCAAAACACTGCGGAACAACTGCCCTGACACCGACGTATTTCTCAGCCGGTGTTCTATGGGAAGTGCTTCTACGAACCCCCAACATGATTCGAGAAGAGGCCACGCAATTTGGCTTGTCAAACAAAAGGTGAGGAATGCAGAGTGTTGTGTGGTTTGGTCTCGGTGGAAGCCACTGCGTACCAGGCTCTCAATCATATCAAATCTCACAACCCCAAACAACTAGTTAAGGCCAGCTTTGGCCAAAGCAAGCTCCCATGTAGCGTGAGGTCCGCCATTCTTGGACCATGTCAGCTGCCGGCCCGCAGGACCACCTTTCAAAGGCTTCTTCACCAAGAAGGCCCGGTGCTTCAGGAGCACCTCGATGGCCTGGGACATTCATTGCAGGGAATGGAGCTTGATTGTACTGTTCAGATTCAAGATCAAAGCTGTTCTATCCTGTTTGACTTGTTGAAATCACACCCTTCACATTCCTCTACTTGAAAGGCGATGAAGACCTAAAGACCCCCAAACCTCAGCAACCAAGACACTGCTCCTCGGATGTTCACCGTGTAGGAACGTTTCCCCTTATACGATTGAGTGCTGTCGGGCCAAGCTTGGTGGGGAACGTCCAACTCCTCTAGGTTGTAAATCTCCGCAAAGGTAGAACGCTTGGGGCCATCATGGTCACCATCTTTGACACTGGCCGAATCCGCTCGCTTTTGCTGAGCCATCCGCTTGGCCTAGGATACCCCACATATATTCAGAATCGTTGGCTGAAGGCCTCCCAATCAAACAAATCCTAAAACACATAATATACTTGGTCAAGTGTGGTTGCCTCCTGACCAATCGATAACAATTGAAGAAATATATACTGGGTATGTGTGTGTTGACATCTTACTGAAACAAAAGATATATTCAACAAGCTTCAGTTGTAGATCCCACTACTGGCGGGGGCGTCAGCTTGATTGCCTCCTCCACAGCCTGCGCAAGCCGCGGTCGCTTGGCAGCCGGCGTTCGATGCCAATCTTCGTCCACGCTCTCCAGGCCCATGGATTTGATCGCCCGGTCCTGCGATGCGAGGATGAGGGGTTCATGTCTTCTAAATTTAAGTAGATGAGAAAGAGGACAATCTTGTTGGAAGTTTGAGGTCTGTGTTTTGGAAGACTGTGAACCCATCCAAGATCATGCAGACTGATATGAGATGAACAAAGCTCCACTCAAACACTTCAGACGGTTCGCAACACTTTGATTGAAGTCTTCTTGAGAAATGACTAACTCGAAAGCGGGCCGGCCTCAGTGGTCATGGGCGTAGATGCATGGCCGCGATCAGAGTCATCCTTTCGCTTGGATGGAAAAAACACTTGTCTCGCAACGTGCGCAAAGAAACACAATGCAATTCTGGGATGAGATCTTTTTGCAAATAAAAGTCTATAGAAAGGTGTTCGTTATTACACCTTCTTGGTTGTGAGAATTGCTTGGCTGAACGATTGCACAGTCCTCTTCAGACTTCTGGTCAAAGATCCAATCATGGAAGTGAGATCGGGTAGCGAGGGTGGAGAAAGCCCAATCCCCATACAGGACCTTGCAAAGATGGGCCGCACACTCCTCGATTTGTGCTGTCGGTCTAAATATATGGTAACGGAGCTCATGGTAGCGGAGCCCGTGCTTGCTTTCTCACTGCCACATGACCAATCACACATGCATACACCTTTAACAGCACAGCCCTCCATGGCTGCCAAAGGAAATTGTTCCAATTCCAAGGTGCTCAAAGGGCTTGCCATCGCGGCTGAAGGCCTCCTGGATTTCCTCCAGCCACACCTCCGTCAGCTGCGCCCTCTCAGTCGTGCCATACGCTGGCATGGGCTCCGTGTCCACGCCCAAGCGTAAGGTTCTCGCGCCCGACGAAGTCTCCTCAGAGAAATTCAGTCAGCCAGTCTAGCCATGCTTTGTGGCTCAATGCGAGGAGGGGTACCAAAAGAACTAGGAAACAGGACAAGAAGAATTGGCGCAAACTTCAAACGAGTATCACTCTCACACTGCTCTGACTCCTGACTCTGCAAGACCTCAACCTCCGCCGCGGCAGCCCCCGCAGCGCAGTCAGCTTGACTGTCCTCAACGTCCCCAAGCGGTTCTGGCTCGCCACCTCCCTCAGATCCACTGTCACAGAAACGCTCGTCGTCCGAACCTACCTCAGATCCATCAGCCCGAGAAGACTTCCTGGCAGCCTGGTTCGGGCTTTCCACCAGCACCTGCTTCATCTCAGCGACAGCTGCATGGTGCGACGATGTCTTGGCGGACCGCCAAAGGTACCTCAAACTCCCGAGGCACTTCTTGCAGCGAACAGCTTCCTTGGCCGCTTGGTCCATCTTGTCACCTCGACCCTGTCTGAAGAGCTTGCCGCCCAAAAGGACATCAAGCTGCAGGAACATGTCCGTGAGCAGATACCCCGATGGCACCTGCTAGCTGGGGAGATGATGTTGGGTGAGGATCGGAGTGACTCTCAAGTTCATGAATAAATAAAGAAACAACCAAATTTCACAAAATTCTTTCGAGGGGCGCGATCAGGGAACTTCTGGCACAGGGGCTTCAGCCACATCAAGTTCTTGTTGAGATCGGCCGATGTTGGCCTCTGGTTTTCATCCTGCAGCTGGACCAGCTTGGACCCCTCCCAGTCCTCTGCTGTAATGACAGCGACCACCTGCACTGTCATGTTGGCACGAACCACCTTTGCCAGATCCACCTGAGTTGCAGGCAAAACTTCACAGAACGTCCATGACAATCTATGAACATGTATGAGCATCTATATATATATATATATGGGTGAATCACTGACCATCTTCACTCATTTCCACCCACCCCTGAACGGGCGCCTCTTTCCGGTAAAAAAGATGAAATTGAGAAAAGTGACAACGTCCTGCTCAGTCCACGTCACCCTCCCTGGGCCTGTGATGAACGGTGGATTGGGTTGATGCGCGCTTTCGATGGTTGTTCAAAAACAAAAAAGAACACTTGCACCTAGAGCAGGCCAAACGACGGCAGGAGCGCCAGCCAGAGGGCAACAAAGCGTACTTGTCGTGGCATGACGAGGTCAAGTCCAAGGTCATCGCGCTTTAAGAGAGCGGGTTTGCTTCAAAATTTGCGAGCCGGTCTCACAAAAAGGCGCACATATTGTCACACCTCTCTGGGTTCCCACATTCAAAAACTCCTATGATCTCCCACGTCAACTCTGATTCAGACACTCCCGGGTTTCCACCTCACGCCCACGACACGACGGAGCACCATCCACCAGCGCTCTTTGGGCACTATCATCCACCATAGCCGAAGCGCTCCCCCGCGCGTGGCTATGTGCACAAAACATGATTGCAGGTTTGCCGCTCCAGTGGCCATCTCACCCTGGAAAAAACATGTTTCCAAAAAGTCATCCGTGGGAACAGCTGGGTTGAGAATCACAAAGCACATGTGATCACATGTGTTTTCCAAGCGCCCTCCCATCTCTTGAATGGCGCATATTGCGCAAAGGAAGGCGGGCGAGCGCCACAAGTCAAGGCAACGCAACGCTTCTGACATCTGAACTGCAAAAACTCTTTGAAAAAATGCTTTTCCCACATGTGACGAAAAGTGTTGCTGCACCGTGTTTCCCTCACAACAGAACACTTTAAAATTATCACGGTGAACTTCGAGCAATCCCCACCCAACAACGCAGAACTTCGAGCAACCCCCACCCAACAACGCAGATACCTTTCCAGTTCTGGGGACACTTTGCCTCATCATTTTCTCACAACTGCTGGATTGCGGTACATCACTGCATGCAAGCGCTGGGGTTGAGAGCGCTAGTTGCAGGCACTGCCCAGCAAAGCCAATCAAAAAGTTCTAACAACAATATCAACATATAAAGCTAAACGACACGGGAAGCCAAAACGGCGCGCAAAGGACACCAT